TCCTTCGCTTCGTCGCCCAACCAAGCTGAGAGTTGTTCTCGTTGGAACACTCTTTTTCACCAGCTTGGGTTTGATAGGGCGGACGGTCCTTCGCTTTGTCGCCCAACCAAGCTGAGAGTTGTTCTCGTTGGAACACTCTTTTTCACCAGCTTGGGTTTGATAGGGCGGACGGTTCTTCTGTGGCTGGGTTGTCCTGTCAACTTGGTCTCTACAAAATAAAGTTACGTTTGTAGGGGAAGAGAAATATTCTGTCATTACTTGGAAAAAGCAGTACATGTAATCTGGTCATAGAAATTAACTAAAGTAAAACTTTAGATGTGTGGCGTTCCAAGTGTTAGGGATGGAACGTCCGTCCACGCGCTCCAGCCTATACGCCCCGTTTCCTAGGGCTTCCATTATTCGGAACGGCCCTTCCCACTTGGCAGCAAGCTTTCCATGCGCTGGGTTTCGGCGGGCGTCGCCAGCTTTTCTCCACACTAAATCCCCCTCCTGGAAGCTTCTGGGCCGGACCTTGGAGTTGTATTTTCTTTCAACCATGCGCTTGCATGCTTCGGCCCTCAATGCCGCCCGGTCCCGCCGTTCATCTACGGAGTCCAACTCGATCCTCAACTCTTGGTCGTTGAGGTTCAGGTCTTCGACTTGCCGCCTCAGGGACGGTTCAGCCAGTTCCACCGGTAACATGGCATCAGTACCATAAGTTAAGTTGAAAGGGGTTTCGCCTGTGGTTCCATGAGGTGTGCATCTATACGCCCATAGGACCTCGGGTAGCTCATCCACCCATGCTCCCTTCTTTTCTCCCAAACGCCGCTTAAGCTCCAAGACTATGGTCTTATTCATCGCTTCCGTTTGTCCGTTCGTTTGGGGGTGTTCTACTGAGCTGGTGACGTGCTTAATCCCCAATCCTTTGAAGAATTTGGCCAGTTTCTTGTCAATAAACTGCCGGCCGTTATCTGTGATGATTGATCGAGGGAGGCCGAAACGACATATCAATTTCCAGCAGAACTTCTGGACCTGGGCGGCCGTGATGGTTGCCAGGGGGTCGGCCTCTACCCATTTGGTAAAGTAATCCACCGCCACCAGGAGGAACTTCTTCTATGCCTGTCCTACTGGGAACGGTCCTACGATGTCCATACCCCATTGGGCGAACGGCCACGGGGATGATATTGAGTGGAGGGCGTGCGGCGGCAGGTGGGAGTTGTTGGAATGCTCTTGGCAATGAACGCATCTTTGGACGAATGCCCTTGTGTCCGTTTCCACGGTAGGCCAGTAATATCCGGCTCTCAGTAGCCGGGCTTTTAGCGTCCGCCAACCTGTGTGAAGGCCGCAAATGCCATTATGGAGCTCGTCCATAACGTAATGTGCTTTTGCCTTTCCCAAGCATTTAAGGAGAGGGGAGGAGAATCCTCTGCGATACAGGTCGTCCCCCACCACAAGATACCGGGCGACCTTCTTGGCTTCGCTCGGACCTACCGTTCGCCCTTCATCCTGGCGAGTCATGATTGCTCTGATTTCTGTTCGCCAATCTTTTCCCCCGTCGGACACCGCCGAACACTCTACTGAAGGCTGAAGTAGAAGCTGCCGCACGACAGTAGTTAACTGTCCCTTTTCCTTTCCCGAACTAAGCTTAGACAGTATGTCTGCCCTCGTGTTTTGTTCCCTGGGAATGTGCTGTATGTCAACTTTATCGAACGCTTTTGTGAGGTCCGTTGCTCGTTGGAAATACCGCAATAAGCGTTCCTCTCGGACTTGGAAGTTGCCATTCATTTGACCCACTACCAGCTCTGAGTCTGTCCGGCAGGTTATTCTCCTTGCCCCCATGTCTTTTGCCAGCTCGAGGCCGGCCACCAGTGCCTCATACTCGGCTCTATTGTTTGATACCTTGAACTTGAAGATCAGGGAATGTTCCAGCAAGAATCCGTTGGGGCCCTCGAGCACGATGCCGGCCCCGCTGATCGATCGACCAGACGCTCCATCCACATACAAGCTCCACTCGTCCTGGCCGGACGGTGGTAGCTCGGCCGCGAAATCTGCTAAGTGTTGGCCTTTGACCGATCCTCTCGGCTCATACTGTAAGCCGAATTCCGAGAGTTCAACCGCCCATGCCACCATCCGTCCGGCTAAGTCCGGCTTCCTGAGGATTTTGGAGATAGGGAAGTCGGTCCTGACTATCACCTGATGGCTTTGGAAGTAAGGACGAAGCCTTCGGGATGCGTGCAACAAAGCTAAGGCCACCTTCTCTACCTGCTGGTATCGGGTTTCGGCGTCTAGGAGCGTGCGACTCACAAAATAAATTAGCCTCGCCTGAGGCCGTTCTTGCATTAGCACGACACTAATGGCCGTCTCTGACACTCCCAGGAAGATATGCAGATCCCCTCCTGGGACCGGGCGGTTCATGACCGATGGATTGACAAGGATGGTTTTGACGTCCTGAAACGCTCGTTCGCATTCGTCGTCCCAGGCCGGGCCGGCCCCTTTCTTCAATTTTCGCAGGACCGGCCTCATTCTCTCCGCCAGGTTGGGGATAAATCGGGACAAGGCGGTGAGGCGTCCGACCAGTCTTTGGATTTCCTTAAGGGTGGTCGGACTTTGCATTTGTAGTATCACGTCACACTTGTCCGGGTTGGCCTCGATCCCCCTGGATGTCAACATGAAGCCCAAGAACTTTCCGGCAGCTACCCCAAATGTACATTTGGCGGGGTTTAGGCGCATGCCGAACTTCCTTACTTGGCGAAACACCTCCTCAAGGTCTTTAAGGTGTCCATCTCCATCCGCGGACCGGACTACCATGTCGTCCACATATACGTCCATGCACCGGCCTATTTGTTCCCGGAAGATCCTGTCCATTAAGCGCTGGTACGTCGCCCCCGCATTCTTCAGGCCGAATGGCATGACCTCGGAACAGAAGTTGGACTTCTCCGTTATGAATGCCGTCTTTTCGACGTCCGGCCCATACATGGGTATCTGGTTGTATCCGGAATATGCATCCAAGAAACTTAGTACTCGATGTCCAGAGGCGCCGTCCACCAGGGCGTCTATACTGGGTAGGGGGTGTGAATCTTTCGGGCAGGCTTTGTTCAGGTCCGTGTAGTCAGTGCACATACGCCATTTTCCACTGGCCTTTTTCACCATAACCACGTTAGCTAGCCACGTGGTGTACGTGACCGCTCGAACAAAACCAGCTTTCTTCAACTTCTCTACTTCCTCCTCCACAGCCTTTCGTTTCTCCTCGCCCACTCTTCGCTTTTTCTGGGCGACCGGACGGGCGTTTTGGAAAAGCGAGAGCTTATGGCACATCACTGCGGGATGGATGCCTGGCATATCAGCTGCCGTCCACGCAAATAAATCCCGGTTCTTCCATAGGAGTGCCCTCAACTCCCTTTCCATCTCAGGGTTCAGCTCCCTGGCGATGAGGGTGGTCTGAGTGGGTTCCCTTCCTATCAAGATAGGTTGGGTTTCTCCAATAGGCTCCAGACGGTCCTCGGTATTCGTTCTTGGGTCGAGGTCTGCCATGGCCACCTCAGAGCCGGCCGCCCGCCTCTTTACTGGTCGGACGTGTAGCTTCAACCCCGCCGCGTAGCACTCCCGTGCCGTCCTCTGGTCCGCCCGGACCGTGCATATAGTTCCCTTCTCACAAGGGTACTTCATCGCGAGGTGGGGTGTTGAGACGATCGCTCCAAACGCGTTTAAGCACGGCCTCCCGAGCAGTATGTTGTACGAGGTGTTTGCCTCTACTAGCAGATACTGAATCCTCTTTTCCTCGCCGGAGCGACCGGTCCCCAACCTTGTCCTCAACTCCACATATCCCCTTGTATCAACTCTTTCTCCTGCAAACCCCACTATCTGCCCATCATAAGGGACGATAAGTTCCTCTGAGATGTCCATTTGCAGGAAGGTCTTCCAGTAGAGGATGTTGACCAAACTCCCCTGGTCGACCAGAACTTTGCTGACTCCGTAGCGCGCTATCTCCGCGGTTATGACCATAGGGTCGTCCTGGTCAGGGTCGGGCGCGTGAAAATCTTCATCCGAAAAGGTAATGGGCGGCATGGAGCGACGTGGTTTGTCAACCAGATGTACGGACTGGAGGGCTCGAACATGGCGCTTACGGGCGGAGGAAGACGATCCTCCCGCGAATCCTCCAGAAATAGTGTTGATGTGCCCCCTCAGGGGGCGTTCTCGATTGCGGCTGCGACTTCGGCTATGTCGCCTCTCTGAGCGAGGCCGCTCCGCTCTTGAATCCCGCGGCTTATCCTTCCGGTAGGTCGACCTTTGAGCAGGTCGATTGGTTGATTTTGACGGGCGCTCGTCACGAACGTATTTCTTGAGTTTTCCCGCCCGGATAAGTTCCTCTATTTTATCCCTGAGGGTCCAGCACTCCTCGGTGTTATGACCCATATTTTTATGGTAGGCGCAACGCTTACTCCAGTCGGCGTTCTTCGGAGTCGGGATCCCTTCCGGCTCCGATATCAACTCTGCGCTCAAGGCCTCTTGGAGGATTTTCTCCCTCGGGGCGTTCAGGGGTGTATACTGCTGGAAGCGAGGTCCCTTCTTCTGCTCCCTGTGCCTAGGACCGGACGGCTTTCCCGTTGACGAACCGGGCTTATTACCGTCCGTCCTTTCTCCCCTGGCCTCCTGATTCTCCCTTTTGTACGAGAGCTTCATCTCCTCCACCGTTATCTCATCCGCCGCTCGTTCCCTCAACTCTTCCATTGTTTTGGGCGCTCGCCTGCAGACCCTATCCTTAAACGGCCCCGGCTTTAGAGCCGGCAGGATATAGTGAAGGGCAAGCTCTGGCGTCAGGCTTTTCACGCGCCGGACGGTCTTCTGATACCTGTCCATAAACGTCCGCAGCGCTTCATCCTTCCCCTGCTTGAGGGTCATTAATTCGAATACGGTCAAGTCTTGGGTACTACTGGCCGCGAATTGTCTGATGAATAGCTGTTTTAACCCAGCAAAGTTTTCAATGGAGTTAGGGGGGAGGGTGTTGAACCATTCCAAAGCTTCGTCCTCTAACGAAAGCGAGAACGCTCGGCACCAAATGGCATCATTGCCCGTTCGGAACGCCATTGCGTTCGAGAACGTCTGGATATGGGACGCGGGGTCCGTTGTCCCGTTATACATTTTAAATTGCGAAGCCACGAATTGTTCAGAAATTTGGACATTAATTATGTTTTGGGTGAAGGGAAGCAACAAAGTGGACGAGGGCTCTGACTTTACTATCATCCGTCCGTCCTCGGCAGCGCTCTCCGCATGCACCGATTTAGCCTTACTTCCCTCCGCCTCGGACCCGGTAGGCTTCCAGGTGCTATCACGCTCGGTGTCTTGAGGCGTGCGTTCTTCCGCCGTCGCCTTTCCTTTATCCTTCGATCGCCCCTTTTCTCCATCCGCCCTACAAACCTCCCGGGCTATCCGGGCTTCACAATCGGCCTTTACGGCCGCCAGTTCGTCCTCGTGACGCTGTTGCATTTCGTCCATTTTTTGCTGCAAGACTCGGATCATTTCCACAGGGTCGTCCACGCTCATATTTCTTGTGGTCACCATTGGGCTTTTGAAATCGCACGGCCCCACAATGGGCACCAAATGTTTCGGATGTGTAGGGCTGTGCTATTCCGGACCTCCCAATTCTCCTGCACTCTTGTCACGGCGGCTGATCTTCCCTTCAAGTCTTAGCTCTCCTTTCAATCCTGGGGGGCGGAGACCTACAAAAGACTCTCCGATGCCAAAGTCAGTTTCAGAGCAATGGCTTTTCTCAAGGATAGCAATAAATGTGCATTCAATGTAACCTATCTACCACTGACCATGGACCTGTATTTATAGTTTTTGCTATGGGATTGGGATTAGTGAAAAGTTAATCACGACCCAAAGTAGCCCAATAGCTTCTAATCTCCACTTACCTCCAAACCAGGTTAATTTACCTAAGCCACGA